TATTTACCTTTCTTCCCTAATGTATATGGAAAGTCCCAAAAAATAATTACCCATAAAAAATAAGAAAATATGTGGCAAATCATGAAGTTGAACTCCTCTAGAAAAGCCATCACTAAAGTGAATTTCTTTGTTATAAGGAAAGAAATCATTTGTAAACAATATAAGACTATGTCTTTCAGATCCTAAAATGCACTTTTTTGTGACGTCAATCAACAAAAAGCAAATATTTTCTAAAATTTACACAATCCATGCCCTCTAATTTTTTTAAGAAAAGGCCAGCAGGGTTCAGCTATAAGCCCATCTCAAGCGGGCCAAGGGTAAGTAGTTGATTTTAACTAACAGATGGACCATAAGAAATCTAAAGGAGGCCTGGAAAATTTTACATTAAAAATAGTTTTTGATTATGTATGTTACATCTCTATGGTATCTCTGGAGGTATAATATACTATCTCCATGGAATCTCTCATGAGGTCTAATTCTAAAAATAAATAAATAAATAAATAAAATAAAAATAAAAAAGACCGTATTTCTAAAATTCAGGTCCTTCATTAAGTACATACATCTTTGAGTAGTTTCAAAATAATTTCGCCTCAGGACATTGGGCTCTTAAAATATGGATAAGTAATTTCCCCTTCAGATAGCTCAAACAAGAGAGAGAGAATAAAAGTGAATGTCAAGAACAACCAACCTACACTTCAGAAGCCTCCACTAAACTCCAGGGCTTTCGCTTTTTTGTTCTCCAGCCATCCATGTCAGGAGCTTTCACAATGTAGAACTGGCCTACAGGAGTTTGGCTTCCATATCCATTCACTTAGATTTAAGATGGATTAAGTTTTCTAATAGTATGTCCTTGAGTTTATTATAATATTAGCTATTCTTTATTAGGTTCTTATTATATTAGTATAAGCCAAAAGTATTTAAGCATTTCAACTACCTTATTGTACTGATCTCCATTCCAAAAGAGCAACCTTCTGAGGTAAGTGTAAGTCTCTCCAGTTTATAGATATGGTAACTGAGGTTTAGAGAGATAAAGTCACTTTCTTATAATCAAAAGTGGAAATGACTGGGGTATGCCTGATTTTAAATCCAATGTCCTTGCTCACGAAGCTGTACTATAAAATATGGTAGACAGAAAACAGCATTATCTTTAGATTCAGGACACTCAGGTTGAACACGCAGGTATTAGCTGTGTAAATTTAACAACTCCCTGAATCATTTCCTCCGCTTACAGTTCCCCAATTGTAAAAGTAGGTTAACCATAGCTGAACTCTAAGTCACAGGAATATTATGAAAATAAATTTTAAAATGAAAAAGTTATAATCAGTAAAGATCTATGTAAATGAATACTATTCTAAAATTTGGATTTACAGATATCAAATACATTTAAATTTATTGAATTTGAATTTGATGCACTCTGCAGACTAGGCACAGTGACCATTAAGGCTATTCTAAGTTATTATAGTAAACTTAATTTGTATGCTGAAAAATTAGGTGCATCAAATGACTTCCTGGCTGATGATTTGATACATGAGCTATGGCTTGATGATAGTTTTTCGTCAAGAGTTCCCTCTCATCCCTACTTGTGGCAAGTAACAAATTAACTTCAATGTATTAGAAGAACATTGTGTTTCTTAAGGCATCTGAGGACAGAAGTGCAGTGGGACCTCCTGAAGGCCAAAAAAACCAAGAGAAGAACACTCTCAAAAACTGTTAACTCTTTCTCATTCTCTTCATCTGTCTTTAGCCTCTGTATGGCTGATTTACTCTTCTTCATCATTGAGGACTGGCTATTTCTGCTTCTCAGTAACACATATGGTTCAAAATGGAAGCCTCTAGTAAGGTTAACCTTTCTCCAAGTTCAAGGTAGTATTACCAGCATCTCCAGGTCTCAATTCCGAATTCTCTGGAGAGAGAATCTGATTGGCCCAGCCTGGGTCAATATCTACTATTACAGGATCTCTTAACTTCCAGTGCTATTAACATTTTGTGTTGAATAATTATTCTCTGTTTGGTGAGGGTGGAGGGAGGCTCTTTTATGCCTTGTAAGATGCTATTGAAACACTGCCCTCACTAAATATTGTAGTGAACGTATGAATTTCACACAGTAATCTAATCTTACTTTAGAATCCTGCTTAAAATTCTTGTCAAAACGTTGCTGCCCTAAAACATTGTTTCTATTAAATAAGTTAATTTAAGTCTATACTGAGATACTATATTTCATCTAATGCTTTGTCAAAGATCCAAAGCTTTTCACAGACAAGAAAAATCTAAAGAGGTTCATCACCAAAACCAGTTATTACAAGAGATGTTAAAGGGACTTCTTTCAGAATAATAATAAGAAAAAAATTAAATAATAAAATCACAATAGCTACATATCTATCAAAAATCACTTTAAATATAAATGGATTAAATGTTCCAAACAAAAGACACACAGTTGCTGAATGGATCAGAAAAGGAGACCCTTAGATATGCTGTCTACAAGAGATTAACTTCAGATTCAAAGACACACACAGACAGAAGCTTTAAAGGGATAGGGATAAAAATTTCATGAAATGGAAGTAAATATAAAAAGCTGGGATGGCAATACTTATGCCAGACAAAATGTACTTTAAAACAAAGGCTATAACAAGAAGGACTGAGCAGTTCCACTTCTGGGTATTTATCCAAAGAAACCCAAAATGCTAATTCGAAGAAACATATACATCCATATGTTCACTGCAGCATTATTTACAATAGCCAAAATATGGAAGCAACCTAAGTGTCTATCTAAAGGTGAATAAAAAACTAGTACATAGATACAATATTCCATATTGAATATTGTATCTATGTACTAGCCATAAAAAATAATGGAATCTTGCCCTCTGTGACAACATAGATGGACCTAGAGGGTATTATGCTAACCATAATAAGTCAGAGAAAGACAACTACCATATGATTTCACTTATATGTGGAATCTAAAAAGCAAAATAAATGAACAAACAAAATAAACTTAGAGCTATAGAGAGCATTTTCATGCTTGCCAGTTGGGAGGGGAGTTGGGGTGGTGGGTGAAAAAGGGTAAGAGAGTAAGAAATACAAATTGGTAGTTACATGGGGCTGTACAGTCAATATTAATGTAATAACTATGTATGGTGTCAGATGTGTACTAGATGTATTAGGGTGATCACTTCGTAAGTTATATAACTATCTAATCACTATGCTGTGCAACTGAAACTAATGTATTATTGTATGTCAACTGTAATTGAAAAAAATTAGAAAAGGGAAAATCCCGAACACTAAAAAAAAAAAAAAAAAAAAGTTCCATGTTTGATAATGCATTGCTTTGGCCAGGGGATCAGGAAACAAGCACTAATTCCCATTGCTTCTGGCAGAGGAAATTGTTACACTGCTGTAGAGAACAAGATCTCTATGTTGGTGATCTTTATCAATTTGCATAGACAGAGGGTGACTAGCTCAGTTTGTTAGTGTGGTGCTGATAACACTAAGGTTGCTGGTTCGATCCCTGCATGGGCCACTGTGAGCTGTGCCCTTCCTAAAAGAATCAACTATGACCTTGTAGCATGAAAGCAATGTGTAACCAATTACCATGGCTGTCTCTCCATAATTTTTTTTAAATGCATATATAGGTATTTTTTTCCTTGTAAATACCACTTCTAGGAATTAATATCACAAATAAATTCACGCACATACATATGGAGTGAAAACATCAAAGTGCATTATACATGGAAAGCATGCTAACATTAGAGTGAAAAATGGGCAGGGACATATACATATTTCCTATGTATATGCATAAATTGTCTCTGGAATAATATGCAAAAGTAGCTAATAACATTTGTTGTCTATGCTGGCTGAAGGATAGGGTTGGGACACAAATGGGGAAAAACCTTTTACGTTATAGTCTGTTATATTTTATGAATATTAAACAAAAGAATGCCCACAAAATTAAAAAATAAATTTAAGAAATCATTTACCATTGAGAATACATCTTATACCCTTTTTTCTTAGGTGGCTCACAATAAGGTAATTATTTTTGTATTTTATATTGAAACAGGATCTAACAAACATTATAAACTGAAACAAATTAAATATAACTAAACTTTCATCCAACAGTATAACAAATGTCCACAATATCTAATATTTGTACATTCAAAATTTTAATAATATTCTCTACATGTCTTCTATGCTAAAAAAAACAAAAAAAACGAATATGTTTCAAATAGCCACCACACTATTTTCCATATATCGTTTCAGCCTTTGTTACTGCAGCAGGAAGAAAAATCTTTACCGTTTATATAGGGCGTTTTGTTTTTCATTTTTAAAGAAGCCATTTATCCCTAAGAATAGTGAAAGTTCATTGCTGCTTTAAGTATCATACGACTTTAAGAATGCTGAAAATATTAGATATTTGTCTTTACATTCGGTGCTCTTGGTTTTTAAATGTCTTAGCAATGGTGATAGCTCATACTTACTTTAATTAATGACTAATACAAGAAACAACATACATTAAGAGCAAGATTACATTGCTTTTTTAATAGTGAATATATATCCATAATTCACATAGTTTATAGCTCTGGGCCTAGACTAGAAGGGGTACAAACAGCCCTTTTCCTTTCTTTCTTTTTCTGGTGAATGAATGGTGATATAACTATTTGGGAAAAGTACTGAGATATTCAGTTAACCTGAAACTGAGTTATTGTTTTGTACACATTTGGATTTCCTACTTCTGCTGATGCGCAGACTCTGTAGTCATAGTTAATATTGTCACATCTGTATTGTTGATATCATTAACCTAAATCCACAAAGAAATATAAGGAGCAATCATATATTATGTTTTATTTGAATGACATGAAATTAGGCAGTTTACTTGGAATGATGCAAATCGACCACAAGGAGGCAAAAGTTCAATTTCATGTTTCGGAGCACCAGGAGTCTGAAAATCATCAATTATTAAGATTGCTTTACCATGTCAAGCCTATTCTTTCTAACTGTTGAACACTTACAAGTCTGGCAATGATTTTCTGTGGGTCCCCAGCATCGGCCAGTACAGGACTTATGGCAACGTCCACCTGTAAAAGAGGAAAAAAACACATGTGCATTATAATCTTTCATTCTCTGACTATGAGTAATTCCTTAAAGAAAATACCCTCGCTCCTTTATGAGGGTTTTTATGTCATACTAGAGTTGAAACATAGCTCATAAAATGGCTGCTTAAGTAACAAAGCCTAAATGTCAAATACAATCTCATATTCAAAATTGTCTTATCATTTTATAAGGAAATCAATGATTTGTGAATTTTACCAGACAGTAAGAAGTAAATATTTAGAAGTAATCAGTTTCACTTTGACTATTAAAGAGTTTTATTCTTATGATCTGTTCTGTTTGATATAATTTCTAAAGTTCGTGGCTTACTGATATCAACAAGTATTAGGAAAATTAAATCAATAGTTAAGAAGTTGATGCCTATGAAAATAAGAATATATTCTTATAAATACATGACAAACCTTCAGAATAAAAGGTTACATTCATAATTTAGATTATCTTTTCTAGTAGGAAATCATTGAGAGGATGTGATTACCAGTTAAACTTGAGCAGGACCCGGGAATTGGAGAATCCTCACCCATGCCCTGTGCTTAGAATGTACGTCCTGTGTACTATTCCCATACTAGCAGCTGTTTCAAGGGCATACCTTTGAGAGAGCAAGGTGGTATTGAGACCCGTCTGGACTGAATATGTGACTGAACCCAGTTAAGGCCTCTATGAAATCTTTTAAGATTCTGGTAGGGTTTGTGTGAAAATGTACCCACCTTGTAGCTGCCTACGACAAGCTTCATATGCAAGTTCCCTTGCTTATTAACCCTGTCCCCTACCAGTCTGGAGCTGTCTGTCTCTTTTTTGTTCTTCTCTTTCCCTCAGGGTTCCAGACCAATGTGTGAACCAACATCTTTGTATAAAAAAATTCAAGCATTAAAACAGCTAATTTTTTATAAAGTTTAATTTCAATTATTTGATATCCTCCTCCAAATTTCTTATTGATACTACCTTCATGTCCAAATATCAGCCTTTGTCTTGTAGTGGTATCTTCCTCTTAAAGACCAAGCTACTACTGGTATCTGCCTCACAAACACAGTCGTCCCACAGAGAAATTCCCATAGAGAATCAAAAAAAAAAAAAAAGAATAGTAGCTAAAGAAATCATGCATAAGTCTCTCTTTGAAGTTTGCTTCTGAATTTCATAGATTCATTCTGAAGTTTTGTGGGTTCAATGGTATGGAATGGGCTCATTTTTAGAATGAAAAGTAGACATGGAAATCTATTAAAGATGAAAGCTTTTCCATAGCATACTTATTAAACTTCTATGCTTTTTTTCTGATATTAGTTGCAAATGGGTATATGCCTATTCAAGATGTTTATGTTAACATAGTAAACTAAATTCCAAAAATTATGGACTAGAGTTTATCAAGTGTTTCCATTTTCTGTGATCCACAATGTTTAACTCTTCAACTTGACAGTTCTTATACCTGGGCCACTTTTTTTTTTCTTTTCTTCCTTCTCTCTCTCTCTCTCTCTCTCTCTCTCTCTCCCTCCCTCCCTCCCTCCTTATGAGACTGACTGAGTGAACTTATTAAGTTAAATGCTTTCACAGTTAAGGAACAGATTTAGCAGACATATATTCTCAGGCTGAACCTCAGACGATCCTCATGGTCTATCTTTCTGCAAGTTAACAGTACTATTTCCAAGTTAATATAACACTTAGGCTCAATTCCAATCACCTTCTTAGAAGTGTCAAGATCCTTGCCACAACAGAGTATATTTAAAGCAATTCTGTTTGTGAGGCACTGCTGCTGACATCACCAGCATATAATATCCTGTCACCCCGCCATCTGTTTATTTAGATCTAAACACATTATAACCACATAATGCAAGCTCATTCTAGCTGACAGGAAAAGGACTCCATCTGGCTGAACAATATAACTTTAATCAGTGATAATGATAATTATTAAAAACCTACTGGAGCTCTTTTGTACGAAGCTAATAAATCGAAATTGATTTATACCAGTGGATATTAGAAAGGACTGAGATAAAATGAGAAGCAGTGAAAGCTTCTTTTTGAGTACAAACTTTTTATGAAAAGTAGCCAATGTTAACATATTTCTTCAGATGTGTTAAAAATCTTCTAAATCCACCATTAAGTGGCTTGTTAAGTAAAGCTATCTGAAGCCAGTTAATCTATGACTTCTCTAATTGTGTTTGGGGCCAATAAAATATAAAAAATATATAGCTTTATTTATTGTGACCAGAGCAGTATCTGTACCTGGGGGGGGGAAGCTTAGTAATATTAGACATTTTAATACTCTCGAAGCTCCCCTTTTATTGGATTATATATATATTTATTTATCTTCTTATATTAGAAGCTCAATTTACCACCCCAAGACCTACTCCCAGATACAACATAAAAAAATATTACTATAAACTTTGAATTTTGTTTATGGTTCTTGACAAAGTATCATGGCAACACCCACTTAGTTGGTAACAAGTGATATAGTACCCCCCCAACACACACACATTTAGATAATTTAACCTTGACTGTCTACATGTTATTATGAGATTTTGTTTAGTAGTTTATATTTTTTTAGTCATATTCAAACAGAAATATCTATTACTGCTATGAAAGAAACCCAACGATGGCTTCTCTTCTCTGATTTCAGTGTCTTATTGGCCCTCTACCTCTTTTGGAAACCAAGGGGAGGTGATCATTTCTCAGACTTCCATTAGCCCAATATGCTGGAGGACTGTGTAAATCATGTGCTTCCATACATAGTTGCCTGCTCCCCCCTGCCCTAGAGACATTACATTGTCTCTAGAGCCTTGACCCTTTTAGAACCGGTCCAAGCATTCACTTCGGCTATTGTTTCCAAAACTATGTGATATGTGGCACTTGCACTAACCCTATTTTCCCTGAGTTGTTGCACTTAAGTAAATATCAAAATTTCTGCCCCAAATCTCTGACTGGAGATATTTCTGTATTAATGCATTTGCCACACTTTCATGCCAGCAACCTTGGTTTGATTCTTATAGACAATTGGGTAGTGTGGTTTTATGGATTGTTACATTGATATGTTTTAAAATCTGTATTTAGCTTTTAGTTCCCAACATCTCTGCTGTACAAAATGTGAAAAGACGAGATGGTAGATAAATGACTTCCTTAGGAATTATCTATCTAGAATAGGAATATATATATATATATATATATATATATATATATATATATATATATATATATATATATATATATANTATGTATATGTATATCTACAAACGGTTTTCCTACTTTCCTCCCATCCATCTATCCATAGATGTTTTTGAGTACCATCTGCATTTGTGTATTAATAACTATGTTAAGTATTGGAGTTAGGCTGAAACCAACATGGTGACTACTGTAATAGAGTTTCCAATGAATTCGGCATTGTTTTGAAGGAAAAAGGTTTTGACTGCTCTGTATCTAATATTTACCCTCTATGGGTTTAAAGAAAGAAGCCGATAAATCAGAATTTTTAACAGTCCCCTAGCTCGGGAAAGAAGAGGTGGACGAAGCCAGGTTGAGCTGGAACGTTTCCAATGTAATGCCTGGTGGATCGGAAGTTCACCACATTCATTACACAATGATTTATCTATGTGACATCTAAAATGAAATCAGCTCAGAACATTTCAGTGGGGAGGGTAATAATGACCTCTGGAGGGTTCCTTGTTTATCTCCTAATAGAAAGAGAAATACTTTAACTATGGCTCAATGCCTTACTTAGAACTTTCTGTTCTCTATTCTCCGGTACGCACTCCTTAAGGGGGCCTGACTTCATGAGGGAAAAAGACCATATATGTCACTAATATTTTAGTGTGGATTCATTTTATAAACTACTTCTCTAGTAATACATTTTAAAATCAAGACAGAAAAAAGAAGAATTAGTCAGGTACTAGGCTCTGGAAATGGCAGAAATGTTTTGGGGAACTGAAACTTTCTCTGCCAGGGCTTTCCAAATCTGCCTATTTCCAAGTCTCAATCTGCTTTATGATTCTTTCTGTTCTTTACGGTGATAATTCTTATACAACTATGTGAGAAAATGCACCACTTAAAATAAGGACCTGGCATTTCCATTTAGCTTAGTGTTAGCATAATTATTTAAATTAATAATTCCATCTCCTGTCATTCTGACTCGATTGAAGATGTGAAATATGAAAAAAAATTGTAAAAAATATTTCTGTAACTTTAGCAACCATTTAAGTCTTTTAAAATAAGTGATGTTTATTGCACATCAGCATTATTTTAATTCACAGGCAATCACTTCTGCTTTGACAATGCATTATTCATTGTAGAAGTCCGTAAATACGAATAAGTTCATCTTTTATGCTTGTCCAGCAGATGTTACTAAAAATGTAGCTTTTGCATTCCTTTCTTAGGAACTAAAGTCCCTGAGCCACTCTGATATTTTTTTAAGAGTCATAAATTCATGCTAGAAGTTCTGCTTGTTTGTGGAACTGTCTGACAGCAGAGATGGGATTTAATATGAACCTCTGGACTATTTCTGCAAGTAATATGCCAGGACAGTTGAAGAGTTACAAAATATGAAGTCACTGGTGACCATAAAAGATTATACCCTTAAACTACCTCCAGTTAAAGACAATGCAGTTACATTTCTGGATTCTGCTTTCAGTCCCTTTAAACTATGGAAGTCTTGACCTCTTAAAACTACTTTTACTGGGGAAAAAGTAAGAGAGTAATATTTTTTTATGACCATATAATTCAAAAGAGAGAGGTAGAACATTTATTGAAAGCCCGTAGACTTTTCTGTAAGCCAGTTGTAGGAAATAGGCAGAAAAATAGCAAATAATTATGATAATCATAATGTTTGCTAAATATAGATATGTATAAAGTAGAGAGGAAGGATTTGAAAAAGGCTCTGAAGAGGGGTAGGCATTTCAATTGGGCTTGAATGTCTAGTTTGTCCAGTAGAGAAGGGGGAGAATAGAGTACGAGGCTGAATGATTAACCTAAGCAGTGACACAGAGGCGTG